AAAACACAAGACCATGTGGAAGAGACACACACAAAATTCAGGCTGGAGCAATGCAGCTGGGGGTGGTGGGAGGAAGACAGCAACCACAGCGACGCACCAGCTGACATCACATCCGAGATACATCTTTCTTGTAACCACACCGTTTAACAGATGAAAAAATATACTTAAACTTTGAAAGTACAGGATCTGGGAACAGGAGGGGCTTTGCACCCTTACAGGCCCTCAAATCCCAGTTTCTGTTTTTTCTTACAGTGGCAGAGCTGGGTTTGTCCACTCCAGGAAGGTAACGCTTCCTTACAGCTGTGCCATCACTTAGCTGCTCGGTGTCACAGCATCACCGTTGTGCGAAGGTGACTCATACAGGCAGCAGCGTGCACAGTCAGAGCATCTCCGAGCCATAAGGGAGCAGGACATTTCAGATTTCATTAGATTGACTCAAACGAACATGAGGCATCACCTGCCCTGTGAAAGTGAACCAGCAAGTAGAAAGGGGCTCCAGCCTCTCCCAGTTCAAAGCATGCAGAGCTGGAAGTTGCAAGTTTCACAAAACAAGGCTCAACAAGGCCATAAAACCACAAAGGGTGCAAAGTGACAACACTTAGAGCACTGGTGATTAAGAATGCTTAATTTTTTAAGCCAAATAAGATATAATTATCTTTTCCACAGAACTACCAGTGCTCCGCAGATATTTCTTTAACAAAATACATTTCTGCTTTCTTACTACTTACAGCATTAAAACTACATAGATAAAACACTCCTCCCATTACAGAGATACATTGTGTCATCTACTAACAGCAATACTATAAAAAGTACACAAACCCCAAACTTTGTTATTGTGTATATACACGCACGGATCCATAACCTTTAGTGTTTGGTTCGTCAGCTACAAGAACTACAGACACGGGACCCACGTGCCGCCTAACACGAGGCACCAAAGGCACACGCAGGTGATGTGACCACCGCTTGCCAAGGGCACCTTGCCACCTCCTTCGGCAGTTTCTAATGTACGACCGAGTGAGGCCGTACCCCGGGAAGCAAATAAATCAGACTCCAAGTAAGCTGCTGACCAATAGGTAATACCTCTCCCATCCTGCATCCCTAAGAGGGGACACTGCAATTTTGACCCAAAGAGGGATTTTTCGGAGCCTTTCCCCTTTTCCAGCAGAACCAATATCCTGGTCTAACAGCACTCTGCTTCCTTGGCTGGGGTACATGGGCTGGGTGTTGCTGTATGGAGACTTTTTCTTTCCCTTACACTTAAAAAAAAAAAGATAAGAGAGAAGAAGAACACTGCAACTCTGATTATTTTTTTTTTTTCCCTGCATTGCTTATGCACTTTACAGGAAGCCACAGGGAGCAAGCGCAGCTGAGCCAGGCTCCATAGAGAGCAGGTACAGGGGGAATGTCAGGGACTGGAGAGACACCACAGACAGACAAAAAATAAGGCAAAAGTGGAAAGAGACGATATTAACAGGAAAGGTATTATGAAGGGGGGGGGAAGTAATAAACCTGGGAAAGTGAAGGAGGAATTTCAGTCATGCCACAGGGAACATATCCTGGAAAAAAATGTACACAGTGAGTCAAGAGGTCTGGAAAAACACTGGGAAAGTTGTGAAAAGGTAAAAAGCCACAGGTTGGTCTTGCAGCATGCAGTTATCAGCAGAACTCCTGCTCACCTTTTACTCAGCCAAGTGCAATCAATTTCTACTTAATAACTGTTAAGCGTATAAATAGCACATCCAGGGAGAGCCCTGTGAATGTGGGGAATAGGACCCGGAGTTTCCAGCGGCAGAGGCTATTCCCCCCTCCCCGCCGCACCCCCTTGGGGTTATCGTTCTGCCCTTCAGCACGCAGGCCG